ATACTCGGACACGTTAGGGATGTTGCCGCCTTCACTCCACGCACGCGTACGGGTAGAAATATTTTACCTATTGGGGAATATATGGGTAGGATAATATATCCCACCTTAAAGAAGGCATTCGAGCCATACACAAAGGCTTGGAGACCAGGTGTATGTATGTTACAATTGATGTCACGGTTTGCAGACAATGTCTTGTTATAGCTACCACTACAACACACTGATTGAACACAGCTCACAAAATGATAATTTGTGGATAGAAAATCCGGCGGCACTAAAAGAGAATACAACTTAAAATTCGTTTTAGCATTAAGCAGCGCTTGGAATCAGCGGTCAATGAGTACCTTTAAAGTGATCAGAATCAGCCGTGACATGTACTCTGAAAGCCTTCTCCATTACCGGTGTATGTAATAGCACCTACATTCAGTGCGAGGCATACTACGGGTAGGTATTCTACCCAGATAGATACCCTAATCTTTCCACCCGAAAATGTCTCATGCTTGAATAATCGCGAAAAAAAGTCTTTAAAATTTCAATCAAATCTGCCTCGTCATAATACGTATCGAAAAAACTCCCACCATCCTGTGATATTTAACAACTAAAAGTGAAGCGGTCGAACACAATGACTTTTGTCATCCCCTTATCCCTGCTCCATATTGCTTCATCTTTTCCTCTTTGAAAACCAGCGAAGTAAGGTTGTTCGTCCATCATATCGTTTGTGGCTTCTAGAAAGCATGGAATTTAAGCTTCGGGGTACATTTACCGAGTGAACTTACCATGGTCATTGCGTACACAGAATTGTCCCGAGGTAATCTTCGACATGCCATAAGAGATTATTCATATTTGGGGCCAAAGGGCATTAACGTGTAAACCAACACATGAATACGTAGCTGAGTAAAGAATCCATTTCACCTGCCCCGTAATTTTTTAGGAAGCTCACGTGACAGGTGTACAATAGTTCCTTTCTCGCTTGTCTTGTCTCAAGTTTCAAAGAATGCGTTCAAAGATCACCGGATCTTTATTTCAATAGAGCTGACGAAAAGGGAACAATTGCCATAGAGGCTAAAGATGGTTGGAAATAAAAGGGCTGATTGGGCTAAGATTTAGCGCATGGGATTGTTTTTGCCGTTGGTGTATGCCATCTGTCGGTTGTAACAAGGCATGGCATATGGACATACGTGTGACCTTGACACGGGACAAGATGGGAGAGGTCGATTTCATTGATGGGTCGACAGATGTTCTCACTGAAGCAAACACAATATCAAATATTTGAATTCGATGGATACATGTACTGTATCCAACTGCAATTTAAATTCGCGGTTATTAAAAATGACATTCAATTTCCCTGAAATAGCTGCGTGATATAGCACAGCTGCATAGTTACTTCCTGGTTGCCGTGTACAGTGGGGCGCAGAGGTATTGATTATACTGATCACTAACCTGCCGGGCAAAAGAAAGTACCCACCCTCGCATGTTTGATGGTGGCTAAAAATGAAACAAACAAAAAATGGTTATTTAATGGTGATGTATTTGATACAGGTGTCATTCCTGTGTTAACGTTTGCATTTTTTTTCAGCCTAGTAACGTTTTGATAACCTTTGTGATTTTTGGTCGAAACCGATTTTCACGTGTATACTTTCTTTTGCCTGGCAGTGTATTCAGTATCAGCTGGACCTCGATATAGCGCGCAAGTTATAACTAACATCGCCTGGGTTTAATGGGGTCCGATAAGGTCCTAATTGTGTCATAAAGTTTCTTTTTGTCCGACAGGGTTAGAGTACAAGAAGACTGACAATGAGTGTGTATCCTTTTGAATAATTCTTTAACGGTAACCAAAAATGTTTCATAATTCATATTTTTTCACTATCACAATTTAAAAGTCTGGGTTATCTACTAAATATGGAGAATACAATATCTCCTAGTCGCGTATCGGTAAAAGGTCTCCATGGAGTGATCGCTATTCTGCATGAGAACAAATATAAAAATAGTTTTGATTGCCAAAGGTATTTCCTTGGTTGAGAATCAAACTCTCTGGGGCCTCTATATAGTAACTATCCCACACTTAGACTAATCAGATAATTTGCTGTTTGTCAATGAAGTTAAATCTGCTCTTCCCACGAAACCTACGCTCTACGGTCAAGGTTCATAGGTGCTCCTTTCTTTGCGCGACCCTAACGAGATGTTTGGGTTCCGTTTATAGATCATCCCAGTCAAAGGTAGTAATTATAACCGTGAAATAATTATTTCTAGAGTTATGAATGAAATCTACGGTCAATAAACATGAAAAGATGGTGCGTCCACGGATTAAACTGTTTCGATTCACTGAGTTTTATCTCACGGGGAATTATTCGTGGTGAATTGATCGTAATGGTTTGCGGAAGGCATTGATTCGCTGACTAAAAATGAACCTGTCGCTTTATTATTTCATAAATGCTTCTATTTTTGCACGACATCAAAACGCATTTTCAAACAGGTTATCAAATTAACGCTCTCATGCTGCGTGAGTTAAAGTGTGACTTTGTGAAGGCACGGGTCGCTCGAATAAACTGAACGCTGCTCTGAGGCCCAGTTTCTAATTGTTATAAAAATGTCTAATAGTCGAAAGATACAGATTGTGTGCAATGACTATTTATAATATAAGAATGTGAATCAACGATAATGGCAAGGGAATTATTTATTAGTTGTGCCATAGAGGTAGCGATAACGGCGAATATTTGCAAACTGCGAGTATGGCGGCATGGGGATTTAATTAAAGGAGATATATGCACGATTACCAATGTGTCTTGTTGCATTGCGAATTTGTCTGTGAGTTAATTACAGGTATATTGAATATTCAAAATTTCTGTCATGGAAAACAAAGACGGGGCTGAGTGAGTGAGTGAGTTGGTGAGTGAGTGAGTGAGTGAGTGAGTTGGTGAGTGAGTGAGTGAGTGAGTGAGTGGGTGGGTGAGTGAGTGAGTGAGTGAGTGAGTGAGTGAGTGAGTGAGTGAGTGAGTGAGTGAGTGAAAGAGTGGGTGGGTGGGTTGGTGGTTGAGTGAGTGAGTGAGTGAGTGAGTGAGTGAGCGGGTGGGTTTGTGGGTGGGTGAGTGAGTGAATGAGTGAGTTGGTGAGTGAGTGAGTGGGTGAGTGAGTGAGTGAGAGTGAGTGAAGGAGTGAGAGTGAGAGTGAGTGAGTGAGTGAGTTAGTGAGTGAGTGAAAGATTGGGTGGGTGGGTTGGTGGTTGAGTGAGTGAGTGAGTGAGTGTGTGAGCGGGTGGGTTTGTGGGTGGAGTAGTGAGTGAGTGAGTGAGTGGGTTGGTGAGTGAGTGAGTGAGTGAGTGAGTGAGTGAGTGAGTGAGTGAGTGAGTGAGTGGGTTGGTGAGTGAGTGAGTGAATGAGTTCACTTTCCGCCTCAGTACCTGGTTACCCAACACCTCGAGTTAGTGCGTTGGTGAGTGAGTGTGTGAGTGAGTGAGTGAGTGAGTGGGTTTGTAGGTGGGTGAGTGAGTTGGTGAGTGAGTTAGTGAGTGAGTGAGTGAGTGAGTGAGTGGGTGTGTTGGTGGGGGGACGGGTGAGTGAGTGAGTGAGTGGGTTGGTGGGTGAGTGAGTGAGTGAGTGAGTGGGTGGGTGGGTTGGTGAGTGAGTGAGTGAGTGAGTGAGTGAGTGAGTGAGTGAGTGAGTGAGTGAGGGTGGGTGGGTGGATGGGTCGGTGGGTGGGTGAGTGAGTGAGTGAGTGAGTGAGTGAGTGAGGGTGGGTGGATGGGTCGGTGGGTGGGTGAGTGAGTGAGTGAGTGGGTGGGAGGGTTGGGTCAGTGAGTGAGTGAGTGAGTGAGTGAGTGAGTTCACTTTCCGCTTCAGTACCTGGTTACCCAACACCTCGAGTTAGTATATTCATATACCTCTCAGGGCATGTTTTATGGTATATGCATCTGCTGATTGCCATAAGAAGCTGGTTAGATGATCACTGTAACACATACAAGCCACCCTGGACCCCATATTTCTCTTCCTAACGTCTTCCTTAAATTTATGAAAACAAATCCGCTTCCAGGGCAGACCTTTTCAACGCAGCCCTAACTGAGTTGAACTATTAAACTCGCAAGTGGAGTACCAGTTACTGTCTCATCATGGCGCGGATTTATCGGCGAGATTAACAAAGCGCACTTCTGGACCTCTGATTGTCAGGCCCGAGGTTTCCGAGTGCGAGCCGTGCACCCATCTACACCGCTGCCATTCATTCAGATGTTCATTGCGTCTGAATGCCCACAACCAAAATAATCTTGAAGATACATTAGTGCCAATCTGAGCTGTATGGTCGGTTAGCTATGTTTTATACAACGCTTGTCACCAGCAATCAAAGATGGCTTGAAACGATGCCCATTCTTTGATCTCGGGTTAAACAGGCAAAGAGCTCGCATGCAATCTGCTTCTTCTCGTTTTAATTCGCTAATTATTTGATGAGGTCTTTAGCTGAGTTTTTTTCTCTCGTCACGTCATTCGGAGCACACCATGTAAACAGCACCGATCTTGCTGTATGTTATCATATTAGGCCCGCTAATGTTCTATCTCATCTCGTACGACTAGGTTTACACCAGGTAGGAATATATTTGGCAAAACAATTTGGTGTTTATCAACAGTTTTATTATATACGCGAAAACCATCATACACCTTACGTCATGTTGTTCGTGTTTTGGTTAACAAGATATTTTAGTTCTCTGCAGTGATCCCGTCAAATTGTTTGTTTATCGTATGTCATAAATAGCAAAACCGGTGCCTAGATGTTTTGGAAAGTAACGTTCGTGTATGAATGAAGCTTGTGAGTCAGGCTGAGAAACGATTATATTTCAAGCTTGGGCAACTTCAAGTCCATTTTCTTTCTCTTCCCCCATCTACATGCAGTACGTGGTGGTCACAGTCAAGTCAGGCCAACCTTGGGCGCTGCACGTGGAATCCTGATGTATCATGGTGATCCAGATTATAGAGAAACATGGAACAGGATCCGCTGGTCCTGGGTGTGAATCCTAGATTTCAGAAATTGTGATCCTTGTCAGTGTCCGTGTCTATATCATTGTCCGTGTCCGTGTCCGTGTCCTTGCCATTGTCCGTGTCTATATCATTGTCCGTGTCCGTGTCCATGTCATTGTCCGTATTCGTGTCATTGTCCGTGTCCTTGTCATTGTCCGTATTCGTGTCATTGTCCGTGTCCGTGTCCGTGTCCGTGTCCGTGTCCGTGTCATTGTCCGTGTTCGTGTCATTGTCCGTGTCCATGTCATTGTCCGTATTCTTGTCATTGTCCGTGTCCATGTCATTGTCCGTGTCCTTGTCATTGTCCGTATTCGTGTCAGTGTACGTGTCCTTGTCCTTGTCCGTGTCCTTGCCATTGTCCGTGTTCGTGTCCGTGTCCATGTCCATCATCGTCTCCGTGTCCTTGTCATTGTCCGTGTCCTTGTCATTGTCCGTGTCATTGTCCGTGTCCTTGTCATTGTCCGTGTCCATGTCATTGTCCGTGTCCATGTCATTGTCCGTGTCCATGTCATTGTCCGTATTCGTGTCATTGTCCGTGTCCATGTCATTGTCCGTGTCCATGTCATTGTCCGTATTCGTGTCATTGTCCGTGTTCGTGTCATTGTCCGTGTCCATGTCATTGTCCGTATTCGTGTCATTGTCCGTGTCCATGTCATTGTCCGTGTCCATGTCATTGTCCGTGTTCGTGTCATTGTCCGTGTCCATGTCATTGTCCGTATTCGTGTCATTGTCCGTGTCCTTGTCATTGTCCGTATTCGTGTCAGTGTACGTGTCCTTGTCCTTGTCCGTGTTCGTGTCCGTGTCCATGTCCATCATCGTCTCCGTGTCCTTGTCATTGTCCGTGTCCTTGTCATTGTCCGTGTCATTGTCCGTGTCCATGTCATTGTCCGTATTCGTGTCATTGTCCGTGTCCATGTCATTGTCCGTGTCCATGTCATTGTCCGTGTCCATGTCATTGTCCGTATTCGTGTCATTGTCCGTGTCCATGTCATTGTCCGTGTCCATGTCATTGTCCGTATTCGTGTCATTGTCCGTGTCCATGTCATTGTCCGTATTCGTGTCATTGTCCGTGTCCATGTCATTGTCCGTGTCCATGTCATTGTCCGTGTCCATGTCATTGTCCGTATTCGTGTCATTGTCCGTGTCCATGTCATTGTCCGTATTCGTGTCATTGTCCGTGTCCATGTCATTGTCCGTGTCCATGTCATTTTCCGTATTCGTGTTATTGTCCGAGTCCTTGTCATTGTCCGTGTCCTTGTCATTGTCCGTATTCGTGTCATTGTCCGTGTCCATGTCATTTTCCGTATTCGTGTTATTGTCCGAGTCCATGTCATTGCCCGTGTCCTTGTCATTGTCCGTATTCGTGTCATTGTCCGTGTCCATGTCATTGTCCGTGTCCTTGTCATTGTCCGTATTCGTGTCATTGTCCGTGTCCATGTCATTGTCCGTGTTCGTGTCATTGTCCGTGTCCATGTCATTTTCCGTATTCGTGTTATTGTCCGAGTCCTTGTCATTGTCCGTGTCCTTGTCATTGTCCGTATTCGTGTCATTGTCCGTGTCCTTGTCCTTGTCCGTGTCCATGTCATTGTCCGTGTCCATGTCATTGTCCGTGTTCGTGTCATTGTCCGTGTCCATGTCATTGTCCGTATTCGTCATGTCCGAGTCCTTAACATTGTCCGTATTCGTGTCAGTGTACGTGTCCTTGTCCTCGTCCGTGTCCTTGCTATTGTCCGTGTTCGTGTCCGTGTCCATGTCCATCATCGTGTCCGTGTCCTTGTTATTGTCCGTGTCCTTGTCATTATCCGTGTCCTTGTCATTGTCCGTGTCATTGTCCGTGTCCGTGTCTGTGTCCATGTCATTGTCCGTGTCCGTGTCTTTCTCCATGTCATTGTCCGTGTCTGTGTCTGTGTCCATGTCATTGTCCGTGTACTTGTCTTTCTCCATGTCATTGTCCGTGTCTGTGTCTGTGTCCATGTCATTGTCCATGTCCGTGTCTTTCTCCTTGTCATTGTCCGTGTCTGTGTCTGTGTCCATGTCATTGTCCGTGTCCGTGTCTTTCTCCATGTCATTGTCCGTGTCTGTGTCTGTGTCCATGTCATTGTCCGTGTCTTTCTCCATGTCATTGTCCGTGTCTGTGTCTGTGTCTGTGTCCATGTCATTGTCCGTGTACTTGTCTTTCTCCATGTCATTGTCCGTGTCTGTGTCTGTGTCCATGTCATTGTCCGTGTCCGTGTCTTTCTCCTTGTCATTGTCCGTGTCTGTGTCTGTGTCCATGTCATTGTCCGTGTCCGTGTCTTTCTCCATGTCATTGTCCGTGTCTGTGTCTGTGTCCATGTCATTGTCCGTGTCTTTCTGCATGTCATTGTCCGTGTCTGTGTCTGTGTCCATGTCATTGTCCGTGTCCGTGTTTGTGTCATTGTCCGTGTCCATGTCCTTGTCCGTGTCCATGTCGTTGTCCGTGTTTGTGTCATTGTCCGTGTCCATGTCCTTGTCCGTGTCCATGTCATTGTCCGTGTTTGTGTCATTGTCCGTGTCCATGTCCTTGTCCGTGTCCATGTCATTGTTCGTGTCCTTGTCCGTGTCCGTGTCCATGTCATTGTCCGTGTCCGTGTCTTTCTCCATGTCATTGTCCGTGTCTGTGTCTGTGTCCATGTCATTGTCCGTGTCTTTCTCCATGTCATTGTCCGTGTCTGTGTCTGTGTCCATGTCATTGTCCGTGTCCGTGTTTGTGTCATTGTCCGTGTCCATGTCCTTGTCCGTGTCCATGTCATTGTCCGTGTTTGTGTCATTGTCCGTGTCCATGTCCTTGTCCGTGTCCATGTCATTGTCCGTGTTTGTGTCATTGTCCGTGTCCATGTCCTTGTCCGTGTCCATGTCATTGTTCGTGTCCTTGTCCGTGTCCGTGTCCATGTCATTGTCCGTGTCCATGTCATTGTCCGTGTCCATGTCATTGTCCGTGTCCATGTCATTGTCCGTGTCCGTGTTCATGTCGTTGTCCGTGTCATTGTCCGTGTCCATGTCATTGTCCGTGTCCGTGTTCGTTTATTGTCCATGTCTATGTCCATGTCATTGTCCGTGTCCGTGTTCGTATCATTGTCCGTGTATGTGTCCATGTCATTGTCCGTGTCTGTGTCCATGTCATTATCCGTGTCCGTGTCCATGTCATTATCCGTGTCCGTGTCCATGTCATTATCCGTGTCCGTGTCCATGTCATTATCCGTGTCCGTGTCCATGTCATTATCCGTGTCCGTGTCCATGTCATTATCCGTGTCCGTGTCCATGTCACTATCCGTGTCCGTGTCCATGTCATTATCCGTGTCCGTGTCGTGGCCCGTGTCCGTGTCCGTGAATCGACGTGAGGATTGTTGGAATACCAAACTTTAGGCCCCTGCACAAAAAATGGACTTGTCCGAAATTGTCCGGATGTATTCGGGGAGTCATCATTATGTAAATACGGGTAAATGTTTTTTAAGCGTGTACAATTTAATGACATCCTTAAACAAGCTGTACAAAATGTTGATATAATCGTAAAGAAAATAAACAGCTCGTGGTAGCTGCGCCCCTCATGGTTTATTCTCCCTGCAGTGTTTTTTATTGTACGATAAACAACGACCGCGAGTCATTTATTTGTAAATAATAACACATATAAAGTCATATAACATATATAAAGTTAAATATAACATTTATAGAGTCATATAACACATACAAAGTAATTTAACAAATATAAAGCCATGTAACACCTATATATTCCAACTATCTTCACCACTGACAAAAGAAGTGAGTGATTGAGTTGGGTTTAACGCCGCTTTTAACATAATTCTAGTTATATCACGGAGTGTCAGCTAAATGTTGGAGGAAAGCCCGAAGTGATGCAGGTCTCAGACGTTTACCACTTCGGTGAAACCCACGAGCACGGGTATGGTGCTGACAAACCTAGAAACTTAATCGGGGCGAACCAGAATTCGAACCCACAATCATAGGTTTCTGGCGTGTCCAAGGGACGCAACTCTGCACAGCGAATCGCGGCGCCTCAGATGACTGGGCCACCCGTGCCCCCCTTGTCAAGGGGAGCAAGGATCTCGGTGGAAACACCTGTTTCCAAGTCAACACCAGTAGTTAAAAGGGGACATGTCTACATGTAACAGGTTAGATTATTGATTTGAAATCCTGTTTTCGCGAAATCACATACGTTTGCATTTGTACTGGTATTCCTGAGAATTGGAAACCAAATCCGACAACAGCGGAAATAATACAACAATCGTCCACTATGGGGTTAGTCATTTCCTCAACGTCGCCCTTGTATACAGAGAGTCAACTTAACATAGAATTAGATTTCAGCCGGAATCACAACTGTCGGTTTGTTTCACCCCGTATCCGGGTACACATGTCCGCAGTTATTACCACACGTAGTCCATGTCCATGTCCATACTACTACTACTACTACTACTACTTCTACTAATAATAATAATAATAATAATATAGTTTATTAATGTGTCATGTGTACATAATACACCTGGCCATTACTGGCCTAAAATTATACAATCAATAAAATACATAAATAAAACATCATAACTAATAATATCTTCATATGTATACAGCAATCCCCCCTCCCCTCTCCCCCCTCCCCCCGCCCCACTCCACAGACACACTATGATACTCTCACGCAAGTTCAACCTAGTCACCAGTTCACACACCTTAGCACCCCCCTCCAACCCCCCTCCTTCCCCCATATACATGTCCCAGATCAGCGAGTCCCCAAAATTCAACTCGGTCACTCAATCACACTCATTATTCATTATGACCCACACGCATTCAATCATGCACAAGTTCAACCGTGTCATTCAACCATTCTTTATTCAATCTGCCCAACCCTTCCTAGCACACACCCATATACGCCCCAAGTCACACCATGTCACACAGTCATGCATATACTTTAATCCAGTCATTATGCATAATGCTGTCACAACATGAGCTATTCCACCCGCAGGTCCATCCATATGCGCACAAACAAGCTGGTATTGGAAACAACGGATGCGGCACACATACCCAAAATGTACGGATATTTGAAGAATTACTCATATTCAAGAGATATTAGATTGACTTGATGCACACACGAACATACGTGTATGTTGTGTGAACCGACGCTCGTGTATGTGTGTGTGTGTGTGTGTGTGTGTGTGTGTGTGTGTGTGTGTGTGTGTGTGTGTGTGTGTGTGTGTGTGTATGTATGTATGTGGCTTACATGCGGAAAGGTTAATTGACGTTAAGGTTATACGGATGAGTGTTATTTTGACACTATATATTGGACGATTATAATCTTGTTTGATTATCTAAATATTCTACAGTGACGTTCATATTTGCATTAACACAGCTTACCACACACACACACACACACACACACACACACACACACACACACACACACACACACACACACACACACACACACACACACACACACACACACAACAGACACACACACACACACACATGTAGATATATCCATCTGCCTGCCTGTGTGCGTGAGTTTGTGTGTCTGTGTCTGTGTGTCTGTGTCTGTGTCTGTGTCTGTGTGTCTGTGTGCCTCAGTGTATTTTCCACAAAAGAGATTTTAGCGGATACCGACACGGGTTTTAAATACGGACAGATGCAAATGCCCCAATATCCTACTTATCATTCGATCTTGCGAGGATGCTCATTCATTAACAGGAGACGCTTCACTGATATTATATGGATGTAGCACCTAGATTCAACAGTAGGCGTTGGGATGATTCCGGTACACCGTGGACTGACCCAGCAACGCGGCTGCGTGACTGACTCCCGGATATGGTGAGCAATCTTGATGAGCATCCCTGCTGTTGCTGAAGTCAACTTGACTGACAGAATATGGTGTCTCCTACACAGATCCGGGTGTGAGGGCGGTGACAATGACAACGTGATGGAGTTGTATGACATTCTGGTTTGTCGTTGTTGATGATGCTAAAGGCGACCGATCCCGCCATGAAGAGACATTTATTAATCACGTACATAAAGTTTTGACGTTAAAAGTTAGAAATAAAAAAATACAGAATGCACGATCTTTCTTTTAAACATATCGGTCATGTACTTCGCAACCATCGATTCGTGATGATTATAGTTTGAATGACAATAGTGGTTATCTTTATACAGACAAAACATGGCAATAAGTGCAGTAACCGCCATGTAATGGTAGTCTCTCTGTTTTGTAAAAATGGTGTTGAGGATAAATCTGATATCCTATTAAACTGTCCGTTGTTTGCCAGAGAAAAAATTCTGTCACTCATTAAAAGTGATGAAGAATGTGATAATTTTAAACAGTTGGATGACCTACAAAAGTTAAGTTATGTATTATCCTACCCCGATGTTTGCCTTCGAATACTGCCGAAAACCTGCCATACCATTTATCATAATATTATATAAAGCGAAAATCTCTCTCTCTCTCTCTCTCTCTCTCTCTCTCTCTCTCTCTCTCTCTCTCTCTCTCTCTCTCTCTCTCTCTATCTCTCTCTCTCTCTCTCTCTATATATATATAGCCGTTAATAATGTTTTTGTATCTATGTATAAGTTTTATTTAACTGAATGTATGCATGACCAATATCATTGTTTATTATAATTTATATAATAGTCTCTCATAACTCCATATAGGAGTGGCTTAAATGTTTTTGACATTTTTACTGTATACTTAATGTATTTGTTTTAGGTGAGACTAAATTAAACAATCTGTCTGTCTGTCTGTCCGTCTGTCCGTCTTTCTGTCTGGTATAGCCCCAGCATCTGTGGCCTGTGAATTGAGGGGATAAACGCCTGAGCACAATATCCAGCACCTCTACGGTCACGTGATTCCAGACAGGAATACCAACTGTGGATCTGATGGACAGACCCCTCAATCCCGCTTGGAACTCAACCCCCAAAGTACTAGAATTTATACTTTACTGAGAAAGTGTTATCCCAAACATAATATGTGTTACATTTGTCCACTTTCTAAAAGGCATCGTGTATGATCAATTGGGTGGTTCACTCACACAGTGTATTCACACTCTGAAGTCACTTCCTTTGGAATTACGTCTTAAACATCGGTTTACATATATAATAAAGAACTCATTGCCCTCCTGTGTTTCCGTATCTTCAGTATCATTTAGGGAAACAAGGCTCGCATAATACACTTCGTATTCCTAATGTGGGATATTTATTATACGGAAACACATTCGGGTAATAATCTCTATTCATTAATCCTGTGTGGTACAATTGTGGTCATTTTATTAGAATAATGTCAGTTATATTAAGATATGGTAAACAATATGTTTATGTCGTTTGAAATGCAAAAACATATCAATCAAAAACAAAATTATTGCAGTTTGTTTCATGTGTCTGTTTATTGCAGCAGGTGTGGACATCCGTCAGGCTGCAGGCTCTCACAACATGCGTTTGATCAGACGGAGACCACGCGTAGGATATGGAGACGTGTATCCTGTCGTATCCCGTTATACCCCTCATGCCACGTCACAACACGTCACACTACGGCACACCCCGTCACACCCGTCATGCCTCGTAACACCCGTCACACCCCGTCACACCACGTCACACCCGTCACACCCCGTCACACCACGTCACACCACGTCACACCCGTCACACCCGTCATACCACGTCACACCCGTCGCACCCGTCATACCACGTCACACCCGTCACACCCGTCATACCACGTCACACCACGTCACACCCGTCACACCCGTCATACCACGTCACACCCGTCACACCCGTCATACCACGTCACACCCGTCACACCCGTCACACCACGTCACACTCCGTCATACCACGTCACACCACGTCACACCCCGTCACACCCCGTCATACCACGTCACACCCCGTCATACCACGTCACACCCGTCATACCACGTCACACCCGTCACACCCCGTCATACCACGTCACACCCGTCACACCACGTCACACCCGTCACACCACGTCATACCACGTCACACCCGCCATGTCCCTGGCTGTTCTCTAGGCAGTCATACACAGCACAGGTGGGTGGTGAAGCATATTCAGTGTTGTCTTAGTGAAGGATAAAATAGACGTGACATGTTAACCAACTTAGCATTTTCATTAACTTTACACTCGGCTCATTCTACATAACACGTACCATGTGGAGAATCGAAACCAGCACATCAGTAGCAGTGACGCTTGGGCTAACCAATTACCTGTTTAATTTCTCATCTCCATGTTCAGCTTCAGAGGGAGCGTACAGCTGAAAAAATAGGAAAAAAGTAACTTAAAACAAATGAATTGAAATACTTGCAATATGTACTTAGTTGTTTGTTGTTAAACGCTG